ATGTTCTGTTCCTTGGTTTCTGCTTCCTCCCTGGATTTTAAGGGTGTAATGGCTGTGTGCTGCCTGTTAGGAAACTTTTTGTGAACTTATTTCCTTGGCCTACTCAGTTGGTATGTTCCCAGGGAATTCCTACTGGTGTTGGAGGCTGGAATAAGGAGGAGAGTTGGGGTGGGAGGAGGAAAGTTGGAGAAGATATCTGTGATCTCCTGTGCATGGGATCAGAGAGGAAATGGAGACCACAGTGGGTGTTTTCTCCAGAGCTGGGATGAGGCTGGATGAACAGGAGGCACGACTCTCAGCTCTCAGGTGAGTAGGAGGTGGGGCTGGGACAAAGGCGTGGGTAAGGGGAGGGAGGGTAGAAGATGTGTGAAGTCTACCACAGATAGGGACCAGGTGAGGGAAGGTGCCATAGTGCTGCAGAGCTGGGGATGACACTGGATCTGGGGAGCAGAGGGAGAGGTGGAGGTCTGCCCCCTTTTTGTTTTCAGTTACTCAGTTTTATAAAAAGACAAGATGAAATGGACTTTTCTACAGGAAAGATACTTGGTAAAGCTGGAGAAGTGTAAGAAATACCTGCCATGTTTGGTTAATAACATACCCTTCAGCTGGAAATGAACATTTATTTAATTTTTAAATATTATTTTGAGACAGGTCTTAACTCTAGAGCCCAGGCTAGTCTGGCACACCCAGTGTAGCCCATGCTGGCCTTAGACTTTGGTGTTCCTCCTCCCTGTGCCTCCTGAATGCTAGACTACAGGCATGAGCTACCATGCCCAGCTAGTGTTAACCTTTTTTTTTTTTTAAAGATTTTATTTATTTTATATATGTTGAGTACACTGTCACTGTCTTTAGACACACTAGAAAAGGGCATCAGATCCCATTACAGATGGTTGTGAGCCTCCATGTAGTTGCTGGGAATTGAACTCAGGACCTCTGGAAGAGCAGTCAGTGCTCTTAACTGCTGAGCCATCTCTTCAGCCCCTAGTATTAACTACAGTAGATCTACTATTTAGTATCTTCAAGGAGGAGGAGGAGGTGTGAGATCAAAAATGACTTCCTATATTCTGTTAGTGTGGAAAGGAACCAGAATACTACTATTTTTCTGGTTTTAAAGAAAGGAGTGTCTTTCTAATTTCCATACTCAATAGCTACCACAGTGGCTTCAGCAATAATAATACTAATAACAACAACAACCTGTATTTTTTTATTTTGTGTGTTACTTGCACAAGTGAGTGTACCATGAGTGCAATACCTGTGGAAGCCAGAAGAGGGCATAAGATAATGCTTGGACTGGTGTTACAGGTGGCTGTGAGCCACCTTATGGGTGCTGGAAATTGACCTGGGTCCTCCAGAAGAGCAAGCAATGCTCTTAACCACTGGGCCATTTCTCCAGCTCCCCACAGTGACTCTTAACAGGCGTTTGGGGCATATTTGAGGTTGCTCAGTACCACAAGAGATACAGAGCCCAGACTACGGTCAGTGCTCTTGTGTATCAGAATCCTCGGAGGATTTGGTTGCAGGATGGTCTTTTACATAAATCACATAGTATTTGCATATGTCCTGCCCCATCCTCTTGGAGGCTTGAAATTTTCCAAATATTGTGAACCTGTTCTCCGGTGAATCCTTGGCTATGGAACCAGTGTAGTGACTGTGTAGCCAGAGCCGGGCTTTATGTATTTCACCTCGTCTGTCTTACACCTGACTCTGAGACTGAAAGTTAAGACCTAACAGCAGCATTTTGGCATTAACTTTCAATCAGAAAAATAAAGGGTTTTTGTTATTATTTGATTGTTTTAACTGTTCACTGAAATCATGGCTACACAACTAAAACTCCATACTGGAATTGAAACTCACTTTATGTGTACAGGGTTGCCATCATTTAAATTTCTAAGCAAGATGAAAACCTTGTGTGTAGTGAGCTTTTGTGAAGGCTGCTGGGAGGAGGGAGAACAGATCATGGTTTGCTGCCTGTCCCTGTTGACTGTGTGGTAAGTGTAACATTAAAATGGTTTATCTTGGGCTGGAGAGATGGCTCAGCGGTTAAGAGCACTGACTGCTCTTCCAGAGGTCCTGAGTTCAAATCCCAGCAACCACATGGTGGCTCACAACCATCCGTAATGAGATTGGATGCCCTCTTCTGGTGTGTCTGAAGACAGCTACAGTGTACTCACCAATAAAATAAATAAATAAATATTTTTAAAAAATGGTTTATCTTGTTTTTAAACACTGATTTGGGATCGGTGGAGGGTGGTATACCTCTGCACTTGGATGGAGGTACAGCTTGTAAGTGTCGGTTTTCTCCAGCTGGGTGTGGTGGCGCACACTGTTAATCCCAGCACTTGGGAGGCAGAAGCAGGAGGATCTCTGTGAGTTCCATCCAGGGCAGTCAGTGAAATTCTGTCTTGGAAAGAGAAAAAGGAGCTGGTCTCCTCCCATGTAAGTCCAGGGACTCGCATTCAGGTCACCAGACTATGTGACAAGTGCATTTACTCACCACCCCCAGGATTTTAGATGGTTAAAAATACAAGGTAGTATTTTATGACATGAAAATTTTTTTTCCAAGATCTCTGACCTAGGCTGGCTTCAACCTCCATGTAACCAAGAACGTTGAACTTGTGGCTCCTCTGCTATCTCCCCAGTGTTGGGATCATAGCATGTACCACTATGCCTGCTGTATGCTGTGCTAGGCTCAAACCCTGGACCTCATGGATGCTAGGCAAACATCCTACTGACACTCCCAGGCCTGGAATGTCCATCGTCTTAGAACAGTCATGACACTGTCTGAGTGGGGAAGGTAGCCAAGACTGGCTCACATACTGTAAAATATTCAACCCCTGCCTGTTTGAGTTGGCTTGCCAGGTCCTAGTCTAGCAACTTGCTACTGTGGGTTATGTTGTGATTTTTAGATCAGTTTAAAAGTTACTACAAGCACTTAGCTGGAATGGTGGTCACACAGCACGTAGCCGACAGCCAAATCACAGCTCACTAAGAGTCAGATGTTGTCAGACACACCAGGGTCTCCAAGCACAGAGTCTCCAAGTGTATTTGCTTATGGTATCTACTTAATGTTTTTTTAAAACTTTAATATTCTCTAAAGGGACTAGAATCTGTGCCAAGATATAATTCATCTACTATTTTAGTGTGACCCAAAAGTTAATTTTGTCCACTCCCTAGCTACTTGTGGTGTACCAGTTTCTGCAGTTACCTCCACAGGCTACTGATTAAGTGCCTACCAACTAGGACAGTGTTTCCCTGCTGCTGTGTCTCTGCAAGACGTCCGAAGGTCTTTGATGTAAATGGGGCTTTCCCCAACTCCTGAGGCCGTAGTACCTGCAATGTGCATTGCTCCCATGGGCCAGAAGCCATCCCATGCCTCCCAAAAGAGTTCAGAACAACCCACATTTGCTTTAGAGTCTGGTATGACTCGTTTTCTGGTCTTTATAGATCAAAACTCTAAAATCCGTATATAGAATTTTAGAAAAAGAACTCTCCTCTCCCCATCCTTACACGAGAGCAGCACAGTGTATACCTCTCGGAGGACTGATACAGGTGGAAGAAGTCCTGCATAGTGTCCAGAGTTCTGCTTCCCCCAGTGCACAGCCCCTTCATACCCGTGTGCACATATATGCTCTTGGAAAGACAGTGCAGTGTCCTCTGTTGCCTGAGTGGCAGAAGGTTTTGGAAGGGTGTGGGGAACAGGTCCTTCTCTGTACTGACAGTTTCTAAACCACAGAAGAGGAGTAAGACATGACTCGGGCTGGCTTCAGCAGCATGTACAGTAAAATTGAACGATACAGAGATTAGCACAGGCCTGTGCAAGATGACATGCACATTCAGCAAATATTCCTAAGTTCTATAAACTATATAACCTTGTGGGTTAATTTAAAAATGAAACTTTTATATAGAATAAGAGGAAGGAAAGTGCCTATTTTGTACCATCCTGATAAAATTGTTTTGTTCTATTTCTTGCAACTAAAGTAAATTTTATTAGTGAGCTTAGTAGGAAGACACTTTAGAATATGCCATAACCAGAGGTGATAACCTGTAATCCCAGATCTTGGGAGGCAGAGGCTAGAGGATTTGGAGGTCCAGGTCATCCTCAGCTACATAAGAATTTTGGGGCCACCCCTGGCTACAGTGAAACCCTGCCTAAATATGCAAATATAAATAGTAAAATGTAGCATCATAATACTTGTTAGAGCTCTTGTAATGTTTAATGATTATTTCACAGCACCATGAAGTTAATTACATGTTGGCATCATAATCGCTAAATATCCTTAAAATGGGTATCAAATACTTCCAGAAACTGGCAAATAAAACTGAATTTCTTAGGTGTGTTTTAGAATTAACTTCTGGGTGTTTGTTTGAGACAGAACTTTAATACACATCTCAGGTAGGCCCAGAACTCACAAGGTCATCCCTCTTATAGATGCTGCAGGCACTACAGATAACTGTGTATAATAAAAAATAAAAATAAAATAAAATAAAATAAAATAGGTCCAAAGAGAAGGCTTAGGTGGTAAAGGTGCTTGTACAATGCCAGGAACCCAAGTCCAGATCTTCAGCACTTAAGTGCAGTAGAGCAGTGCATGTCTGTGATCCCAGCCCTGAGACGCTGAAGACAGGATCCCTGTGGCTTGCTGGCCAGCCCAGCCAGTCTAGCCCAATCAGTGAGTTCTAGACTCAGTGAAAGACCCTGTCTCAAAAACACAAAAACTAACAAACAAACAAACAAAAAAATGGGGAGTGAAAGGTGAATGTGATCAAATACACTGCACACACATAATGAAGTTCTCAAAGAATAAATTAGAACTATACTTAAAATACAGCAGAAGCAATTGTGGAAGCGTGCGCGCACACACACACACACACACACACACACACAGACACACACAATTTAGGAAAGGTGGTGGAGTGCCTAGGGCTATATGTAGCACAGTGGAGAGAAGAATGCTCAGGGCTTTAAGGAAAGAGGTAGCAAGCAGGACTTTACTCAAATGTCACATGGTCAGGTCAATTTGAAGTTTATTAGATGATGGACAACTGCCACGCGTTCTTCACACTGCAACCCTGCTGTTCCTGCAGAAGGAAAAGCAAGCTTACAGTTACCAAGTAAAACTGTGGCTCTGTTAAGAGAAAAATGTTGTTTGTACACATGAATTGTTTGCTTCCTCTTTAGGAACTAAGGGTGACAGCGAATGACGGTTTTCAGAAGGCTGTTGTTTGTCTTCCTTCCTTGGCTGTCACATCGCTCATGCCTCCTCAGTCTTCATCAGCTTTCCGACATCTTGTCCAGAATCAGCAGAGGGGCGAGGATCCTCGCTCTGTTCGTTTCCACAATGCAGCCATTTAACACCATCTCATCCAAAATGATATGGACTTTATCCAAATTAAACATTATCTAGGTCACATTAAGGAAATTAGTTGGAGAATTTAATAAATATAAATAGTAACATGGCTTAGCCTGGTATTTCCTGCTGTAGATAAACCTAAGCAAGATTTTTTGTTTTTTTTTAAGCCGGGCAGTGGTGGCGCACGCCTTTAATCCCAGCACTTGGGAGGCAGAGGCAGGCGGATTTCTGAGTTCGAGGCCAGCCTGGTCTACAGAGTGAGTTCCAGGACAGGAGGGCTATACAGAGAAACTCTGTCTCGAAAAAACCAAAAAAGATTTTTTTTTTTAAATCCTTAGTAGACATTACCTCTATATACGTGTACATACCTATATTCACCTTGGCTAAGAAAGTGGGATAAGTAGATATTGAAATGAAACAGCTACCTAAATTATGCTTGTGTGTGTGCGCGTGCACGTGTGTTTGTGAGTGTGTGTGTATGCATACATACGAGTGTATGTATTTGTGCTTTGGTGCTTAGGATGGAACTCAGGGCCTTACACATTGGGTAACACTCTAGCATTGAGCCACATCCCAATCCAGAACAGGATATAGTGGGGTAGAATGTTTAAGTGCCAGAGAACACAGCAAGTAACAATTCAGCCTCAGTAATAGCAGCAATGCTGTTGGAAGCTCAGGAGGGTTCCAGGCATTGTTATAAAGTTCAGTCTTCTTTACAATCCTCATTTTATTCAGAAGTAAACAGTCTAAAGTCTGGCCACGGTCACAGAGCAGGTACAAGCCAGAGCTGGGCTGGACTGACTGCTCTGTTCTCCAGGCTTCTCTCCAGGAGCCCCAGGCTCTACCTACCCACACCAACCGTCGTTCTCGGCCTGCAGCATCAGCAGTCTTCTCTGCCAGACAGAAGGAAAAGCAGTCCAGAGAGAAAACAATATAGAAGCGGAGGCTAAACTTCTCCAAGATCCAGGCTCAGAGTTTCACAAATGGAATCTCTTCAGATTCTGAAGCCTTAACTTGGTGAAGCACTTTACTGGAAAGCTAGTCTCCAAGGGAGAGGGCTCTGGCAGTGAGGAACCAGAAGGCACTGGACTCCCTGGGAATCCTTCATCTGAGCATCTAATTATGGAGCAAGATGGTTGCAATGGTTGGACGTTTTTTAATTTTAGATTTGAAATCTGAGATTCTGTTTTTTAAGGAGCTGTTTGAAAAGAAAGAAACAGCTGCTTCAAATGGAAAAACTTCATTCAACAAATAGGTGATTAGAAGCACCAGTGAATTTGTAATTAGTGAATATTTGCAAAACAAATCATTACCTGATATTGTTCAATTCCTGATACTCAAAGTCTCTATTGTACTTGTTCAGTGGAGTCTGCCTACAGAGAATGGGACAGCCTGTGAATGGCTTCAGCTTCCATTAGATTCTGTTAACATCTCATTAAGTTCTGTGCAAATAGCCCTCTAGCAGAATAAGCTTTTTCATGAGCCGATGGGAACTGTCCCTAAGTGACCCAGAAAAAAAAAAAAACAACTTTGCTCTGACATACCTATTAATAATGTCTTCCAATTATATAGATGATTGCTTTGTGCTTTGTCCTAGGCCAAAGTAGGACTGGAATTCAGTTAGGCTCAGGCCTGTTCATCAGAACCAGTGGCCAGAGTTTACAAGCTGAGACAAAATGGGAACCCAGTCAGACAACTAGAGCTGAAGCTGGGAAGGGGTGCAGCTCAGTGGGCAGTGCTTGTCTAGCTCTTATGACATCCTGGGTTTTATCCCAGCACCCTCTGAACAACGTACAGGAATACACACCTGTAATCTCCACTCTTGGGAAGTGAGGACAGGAGGCTCAGAAGTTCAGGGTCATTTTTGGCTACGAAACAAGCCAGAGGTTTGCCTGGAATAGATTGAACAGCCTGTCTCAAAAAAAAAAAGGAGCTACGCAGCTCAGGCGGCTGAATGACACAGACTCTTGGACTCTGTAGGCATCAAGGGCAGGGGCTATAGAGGCTTATTTTCCTGATCTTTGAATCAGGAAACCTCATTTTATCTGTTTAAACTGTCTCACTGATCAAAGTCTTCCATCTGCAGGATAGAAACAGCTGTTGTTTGGATGTCCCCTTGAGCAACTGCCGACGGTTCTGAAATTCGAATCAGAATTTATTGCTGAATCATATCAACCACTGGCACCCCACATCGCAAGGACAAGGTCCTGTGGCAAGCCTGACTGTCCCAACCTCCTGGAAACACAAGTTAGTCAGTGAAGTCATGCGCTGTGGGCACATGACTGCCTGGCTCTCTGTGTATCTGGCTCAAATCCTAATGACTGCCCAGTTCTGCACCACACGAGCAAACCCTAGACCAGATCCCAATGCGAAGCAAAGGCCTGAAATCTGACGGCTCCCTAAAATCACCTGCCTCCTTTAAAATAGGAATCCAGCTGTTGTTCAGATCTTGATTTGGTTTATGAGCAACTTGTGCACACGGGTGGAGCCAAGATTAGTAGCTTTCGGGCCGTATGCCAGGGACCAAGAAAGCATCCTATATGCCAAGCCTCAAGGCAGTAAACAGCTGCTTTGAGGAACAGGAGGAAGCAAGAAGGAACTGGACTGTGGTCCATGAACTCAAGCAACCAGGGAAAGAGCTTCCTTCAGCCTGGGTTGAACATGACGGGCCACATATAACTTTCCAAGGAGCACATTGACTAAATCCCATGTTTCTCAACATGGCAACCCAAGAACGTCATGGATTTCTATGGAAGGCAAACTGTAATGGGCACAAGGAGCTGGTCCCCAGCTCCTAAGACACGTTTCTTACATGGTTTATTCTATTTTCCTTGAGCCAGGATCTTAGGTAGTCTGACTGGCCTTGACCTTGCTATGGTAGTTGAAGATGGCCTTGAACTCCTGACTCTTCTCCCTCTGCCTTCCCACTGTATTCAACCCTACAGGATTTTTAAATATGAATATGGTGGGTTAATTGTCTTTAGGAAGAGAGAGAATGGAGCAAACCAGGCCCTAATGGAATTTCAGGACAATTGCAAGGCACAGCCTGGCCTAGACACCAAAATGGCTTCCTCTAGGGAGCTAAAGAGAAGGCTCAACAGTTAAGAACACCCACACAGTAGTTCATAACCATCTGTAACTCCAGTTCCAGGAGATGGTGCACCCTTTTCTCAACTCCTTTGGGTGTTAGGCACAGATGTGACACACAGAAATACACACAGATAAAACACGTGAACATATCAAATAAATCTAAAAAAGATGTTTTTAAAGTATGAATGTAAACTGTGTGTGTGTCTGTATTTCTAGCTTGCCTTCCTGGGATTGAACCACAGCCTTTGGAATGCTAGGCTAGTGTTCTCCCAGTGAACCACACCCCAGCTCAGCACGAGGACAAATGAGCCCTAACCCCTGCTGCTTCTTGTAACTTGTTGTTACTACTTTTGACTAAAATAACCAAGACACAAGGGACAAAGTGAGTGGGGCAAGACAGGGCTTTGGAAGAGATGGTAGCAGGATATGGTACCGTGGAGCTTCAGAGAACACATTTAAGATAAGAGCCGGAGTGGCTCACAGCGTAATCCCAGCCAGCACTTGGGAGGATGGTGTGAGACGCATGCTCCCCATAGAGGGGACTGAAGTCACCGAGGCGCTCAGTCTCAAGGGGACAGTTTGGTCACTGGACACCATTGCACCAAGGGGGTTCCACATACTGGAACGAAGGGTCTCAACAAGCCAGAATTCCTGAACTGATTTCTTGTGTTTGGGTCATTTCTGTTTCAATCCCATCTATCTGATTTTGTAAGTCTCAGCTGGAAGGAGAACAGTAGTGTGTACAGAGGAGAAATGTAAATGCTCTGCCTTATTTCTCAAAGCCCAGTGCAGGGAACTTCAGCCTTAAACATCACAGTGAGGAAAGGGGCTCTGACACCCCTCCTCTGTAGCCACACCCAGACCCATCCTCGCTCACCTGTGAGCAGAACAGGAAGGATTTCTCAAAGACTGAGGGATCCGAGTGTTCAGTGTTTCAAACGTGGCAACTGCTCGTTGTCAAACTTTGAGGCTGAAGAGAGCACTTCTGGGAGCAGCCACTGCCCTAGCAGCTTCTGTGGCATTGAAGAGTGAGCTGCAGGAAGTGTAGCCCTCCCCGCGGAAGGCAGGAACTAGAGTGGACCCTCCACGGACTGCTGATTCTCTGCTTCAGGATTCTCTGAGGTGATGTGCCACAGAGGACCGTGTGTGAGCCTTGAGTTTTGAATCTGCTGTTTTTTGGATGGTTCCCTCGTACTAACATACACAGCACGGTGAGGAAGGAAGGTGAAATGAAAGCACGTGGTCTATGTGTGGTGGTACACACCTTTAACCCCAGCAGGGGCATCTGGTCAGTTCCAGGCCATAGCAAGTTCAAGACCAGCTAGGGTTACTACATAGAGAGACCCAGTCTCAACAACAACAACAAAAAAACACAACAACAACAACAACAACAACAAAAAGGTAAAGGAGAGCTAAAAACACAAATTGTGGTATAGGAAATAAGTTGAAACTAGAAAGCTGGATCATTCCAGAAGTCTATAAAGACAAACATACCTGCCTCTCCACTAAACACTAGTCAGCATAAACTACTCCAACACAACCAGTGAAACTCTAGTGTATATACACAGCTGCTCCTTGGCCAGTCTCAGCCAGATCTGGAAGAACCCTTCTTTGGGTGGCAGGTTATTTAGTCCCTTCCCTGGAACCACTGAGAGAGTACCCAAGCTTCTCTAATCTGATAGTTAAGAGCACTGCTGCTCTTCTTGTAGACCTGAGTTCAATTCCCAGGTCCCACCTGGTGGCCCACAATCATCTCTAAGTCCAGTTCTGGGGGAATCTGATGCCTTCTTGTGGCCTCCAAGGGCACCAAGCACATACATGCACAGACATGTACATACATGTACACACAGAACACCTCCACACATTAAATAAATAAATACATACGTAAATATTTAAAAAAAAAAAAAGACTGTCATATACACTGCCTAATCTTGGCTCTTAGGCCAGAAGGATCATAGGTTTAGGTCATTCACCACTAGGGGGCAATCACCTTTCCACAGTAACTTAAAAAGAAGTCTCCACATGATTTAAGATGGCTATTGCTCCAGAAGATTGTGCTGATGCAGATACACTCATTCGAGCAGTGGCTTCACATAAACACATACATATATGAACTTCATGTTATACTCCTATATGTTATCTGCTAATATTATACATAAATAAATAGTGATTATTTTAGATTTAAAATTGAAGCGTTTTCAGCCGGGCAGTGGTGGCGCATGCCTTTAATCCCAGCACTTGGGAGGCAGAGGCAGGTGGATTTCTGAGTTCGAGGCCAGCCTGGTCTACAGAATGAGTTTCAGGAGAGCCAGGGCTACACAGAGAAACTCTGTCTCGAAAAACCAAAAAAAAAAAAAAGATTGAAGTGTTTTCAAAAGCTGTCTTTATTACTTTCAAATGATAGGCATATTTTAATAAAATGTTTATCTTTTACTTTATGTGTGTGCGCATGAGTGGGTTTATTTTATTGCTTTTTTGAGTACTGTTTCTCACTGTGTAGCAATGGCTGGCCTAGAATTCACTGTGTAGACTTAGCTGTCCTGGAACTTACAGAGATCTGCCTGTGTCTGTCTCCTGAGTGCTGAGATCAAAGGAGTGTGCCCCATGCCCAGTCTCAGGTGCAGTTATGTGCACTCCATGTTCTTAGGTGCCCGAGGATTCCAGAAGAGGTCACTAGAACCCCTAGAACGGCAGTGTCAGGCGGTTGTGAGCTGCCTGACCTGGGTGTTCAGAGCTAAGCCCAGGTCTTCTCGGGAGCAGTCTGCATTCTTAACCACCGGGCCTTCTCTCTGGCTTCAAAGCCAGCAGAGAATCTTAGAAGTCAAAGTACTATACTTTTGGAGACTTACAAAAGCCTGCCGAGTGCCTGCCTCCATCTGGGACCTGGGGTATGTTTATTCTGCTGTATGATGCTAGGTCTGAACTCAGGGCCAGGCACATGCTAGGAGGTGTTCTACCACTGGGCTGCATCCCCGGGACACACAGACAGATGAGATTTAAAAGAAAAAAAAGAACTTTTTCTGCTATAAAGGAGATGAACCCCCATAATGCCTCCTTCTGTTCACGAGGAGCTTTCTGAAAATGTATCGCGGAGGCCTAAAAGTTCAGTCTCTCTGAGAAAACCAAGCACTTCATCTGTGGGATACACATTTTGAACAGATCTATCTGATACATATAAAAAAATAGTTATTCTTTAATATATAATTTATTTTTATTTCATGTGCATTGGTGTTTTGCCTGCATGTATGTCTGTATGACAGTGTCAGAAACTCTGGAACTAAAGTTATAGAGAGTTGTGAGCTGCCATGTGGGTGCTGGGAATTGAACCTGGGTCCTCTGGAAGAGCAGCCAGTGCTCTTAACCACTGAACCATCTCTCCAGGCCCGTAACAGTTATTTTTAAATACCACTACCTCAGTTCTTTGGAGAAAAAGAAAAAGGAACCTTACAAAGTACCATCTTAGAAAGGGGAAGGCTGGGAAGTTCTGTGGCATGTATGATTCATGCCTTGGCAGAGTAGCAGATGAGTGTCCTGGATTCTGCCAAGTCACCCTCCAGCGTGATGACACTTACCTGATTACATCCAGAGTGTGCTTTTGCGACATACCATGGAAAAATGTATGGAAAAAGGATACATCTAGTTCACTCTGAAAAAGGAAACAAGAACACATGGTGAGAGGATGACCCCAGAGAGCACCGTCAGCTGAACAGTCAAGGGCTGCCCTGCCTCCCAGCCTGGAAGCGGCAGGTCTGGCTCCTACACCTGCTGGAGCCCAGAGTGGGAGCCGAGCTGGAAACTGAGGCAGGAACGTGAGGAAAAGAAAGCTGCAGGTTAGAGGACAAGTGGTAGTGGGAGAGCTGGGGTTGGTGGCTTATGCCTGTAATCTTGGGAAGCTGAGGCAGGAGGATTGCTACAAACTCAGCCCTGTCCAGGCTAACAGAGTAAGATCCTGCCTCAAAATACCAGACAGAACCAAAAGCAAACAAAAAGTATGGGGAATAATAAAGTGTCTGAAGCCTCAGGAATGTGCCTTCTCTTTGCATCCATCGATTTACTTCAGGGGCTTATGGTAAGGAAGCTCAGGGAATGGTGACAGGAGAGTCAGAGTGAAGCTATTACCACTGCAAACTATTGGTAGTAATCCAAGGAACTATCAAGGGGGGATTAGGTCAGTAAATTATAGCCATCAACAAACAACGGTGTAGATGTCTAATTACTAGCAAGCTGCAAAGTAGAGTGCAGGTTACCAACTGCTGTGCAAGCTGGGAGAGGCAGCTCAGGGTACAGTGCGTATCTGACATTTTTAATGCCCTAGGGTTGATCTCCATACCACAAAATTACATAAAATTAAAAAGTGGTATGTAATCAGTCCTCTGCATTCATCAATTCCATAGTCATTGATTCAACTAAGCTGTCTGTGAAATACTTGGAACAAGCTGTGCTTGTACTGAACACACAGACTTTTCACTCTGCCACAATGGCTTAGGAGTAACAACGGCCCATCTAGCGTTTACCCTGTGCAGGTGCTAAAAGAGGAGCTGGATGAGTAGCTCAGAAGAGTTAGAGTTAACGGGGGGGGGGGGGGGTGGTGTCAGACATATGCCGACGCCAACCACTGGACAGAGGGACTTAAGCTTGTAGGATTTGGTACCCACAGGGCTGTGGTGGGGCCTAGGACTTATCTCCCAGCACTGTCAGTATTATCCTATAGACAGATGCATATCCAGATGTCCAGTCTCAAAGTTACAGGTGGGTGTATCAGGTCTAAAGGGCATGTACATCTAAACAGACGTCCCTAAATGCTGGGCCAGCTGACGGGTGGAAACCCGCTTTGAAAGCATCCTATCTGAAGCACTTTGAGGTTCACAGTAAAACTGAGCTGAAGGGATAGAACTATCTCACATGCACAGCCTGCCCAGATCTTTGTTCACAGTGAGGGGCTTTGTTACTTTACTGCTTGCAGGTCACTCCCACGGAGTCCACGCTGGGCGCCACTCTGGCGGTGTATAATCTGAGTCTTAACAGATGGAAAATGCCTCGAACCCATCTTCTTTGTTTTCCTGCTTCTCTGTACTGATTTTTTTTTTTTTGTCAATAAAACAGTTGTGCAGAGGGAACAGGAAATGGAAATGAAATCATATGTGACAGGGAGGGAGAGGAAGCCCGGCTGACTCTCTCCACAACAGCAATGCTCACTGGGAACCTCCAGAGGCCAACCAGTTTGGCTTTTGTTTTCAAAAGTATGACACTGAGATGCTTTTCCCGGTGCAACAGCATGAAATGCATTCCAAATTTAAGCTGCTGAAACTCTCTAAGATAAAAATACCCCAGGAAGAATGCTCAAAACTCACAAAGCTAAAAATAAGTCTTAGCTGACGGGGCACCCTCGGTGAGGGCTGGGGCCTTGTTCCTTCCCCTCGCTCTTGCTCTTCCCTCTTCCTGTCGCTTGGCTCTGGTTAGATCCTGACAGGGTCATCCCTGGTGCAGCACAAGCCCTGCACTGTCGCCTGGGTTAAGTTAAATCCGACTCTTGACTTTTGTGGTTCATTCAGTCACTGGCTCGCTCCCTAAAATGACAGCTATAATTCTACATGTGCTGTTTGTTTTTAGTAACTGGATAGAACAATGACTTAAACGCCTTGCAGCAACAGTGTGAGCCTTTTTTGTCCTCCCTGCTTTAAGACATTTTAGAAATGATATTCTTTCTGGGCGAGTGTCACTTGAAAGCGGCTGTGGGTGTCACAGCCCTGGCTTGCATCCAGTCTACTCTGACATGCAGTGGTCTCCCCGGGGGAGCAGGTGCCAGCACTGCTGCTGATAATACGGCCACCACCTGCCCAGTGTGGGTTTAACTCATTACAATCCAATAACGTTTCAATTTCCTAGTCACGCTAAGTGCACTGTCCATGCTCAGCGCTGCACACAGTGGTAGCTGGCGGGCTGGCAGTATTTCTAGCACTAGGAAAGGGTTATAGACATTGCTTACCTACGAGTCTCTGTCTACACGGTCAACACAGACATAGGTTCAAGGCTACTCTCCAGTCCTCTATCCCAGCATGTCCAGTTTTGGAAATCACTTGATCTCTTTTCTGTTTCCAGCCTAGGGGGAGGTGCCCATCCCTTGGAGATGCATGCCTTGTCATGCCACAGGCCAGCAGCCGTCTTCCGAGCTCCATCAACTGAAGTAGGAAACTGCTGACAGGCCTTATGCATTAAGGTTACCTTAGTGCTCCCAAAGTTCCACATGTATCAGAATCACTGGAAGGCCTGGTAAATCAGACTGAGGGACATGGCAGAGTTCCTGATCCTGTGACACAGGGTGGAGGCCAAAGCTTGGATTTCTAGAAAGTTTCCAGTTTATACTGCTGTTCAAGGTGCCAGACTCTGGGGGCCACTGCACTGAGGCAATGAACTGGCTGGTTCCCCCAGGAAGAGCTTCTAAAATTCATTTCAGGTCATAGAAATTGGATTAAAGACATAACTTCCTTGTTCTTTTTGAGACAGGGTCATGTGCTATCTAGGTTGGCTTCTAACCCACTATGCATTCAAGACCTAGAACTTCCAATCCTCTTGCCTCTCTCTACCCTTCATATACCTCAGAAGACATAGCTTCGAAAAGGGTGTGGCCATCTGGTGTTAGCGTGCTCAGCATTGCTGACTACGGAGCAGTGTCCACTCACTGCCACAGGAGGCGGCAGTGTGCATCAGCGCCTTCCTAATCCTTTCATATAAAGGCAGAATGAAATAAACACACTTGAGAAACAGTAAGTTACGGATGTAGCTCAGTTCATACAGTGCTTGCTCAGGAAGCACAAAGCATTCAGTACTGTGCCAACTGAGTGTGGTAGTACTCATCTATAAACCCCAGCACTAGGAGGTAGAGGCAGGAGGAAATCTTCAGAATACCTAGTGTGGTGGTTTGAACATGCTTGGCCCACGGGAAGTGGCACTATTAGGAGGTATAGCTTTATTGGAGGTGTAGTCTTGTTGGAGGAAGTGTGTCACTGTGGAGTCGGGACTTTGAAGCCTCATATATATGGTCAAGTCTGGCTAGTGTGGTCCAGACCCTCCTCCTGGTGGCCTACACAAGACAGTCCCCTTCTGGTTGCCTTTAGATCATGATGTAGAACTCTTGGCCCCTTCTCCAGCACCATGCCTGCCTGCAGGCTACCATGCTTCTTGTTATGATGATGCTAGGCTAAACCTCTGCAACTGTAAGCCAGCCTCAATTCAATGTTGTCCTTTATAAGAGCTGCCTTGGTCATGGCGTCTCTTTAGCATAAAACCCTAACTAAGCCGCCTGGGATACTGGAGGCACTGTAGTTGGTGTTGCTAATAATACCAACCATCTCCACTGATTCTTGTTTAAAAGATAGCTTCATTTCCAACTTACTGTAGAGCTATATTAGTCAGGATAGTATGATACTAATAATGTTATGTTCAACAGAATAGAAATGCCTGGCCCACGGGAAGTCTGGAGCTAGAGATAAGTTTTTGCATTTGATTTAATTAAAACTGCTGTTTTGTTTGCTGAGATGGAGTCTCATGCAGCCCAAGCTGGCCTTGAACTTATTTTGCAGCTCATGGCCCTGAACTCCCTGCCTTCCTGCCTCTGCCTCATCTGTGTATCACCCTCCCTGGCTCAGTCCTTACTTGTGAGCAGTTGCTTCACAATAAGAAGCTAAGACAGCACAGGGCAGTGGTGGTGCACGCTTTTAATCTCAGCACTTGGGAGGCAGAGGCAGGTGGAATTCTGAGTTCGAGGCCAGCCTGGTCTACAGAGTGAGTTCCAGGACAGCCAGGGCTACACAGAGAAACCCTGTCTCAAAAAACCAAAAAAGAAGAAGAAGCTAAGACAGTCATGGATGGAGAAGGACAGTTCTTTCAATATTTGCTCCAGAGATGAATAGATACCTACATATTAAAAAAAAATGATGCTGTATGCTTGTGATTCCAGCCTTTGGGAAGCAGAGGCATGAGGATTATGAGTTCAAGGCCAGTTTGGAGCTATACATCCATCCAAACTAAAATAAGAACAAAATAAATCAAGATAATCTATAATTTACAACATAGAAAAAAATTACTTAAAATGGATTCGAAACAAATTTAGAAACTAAAATCAGAAAACAAGGGGGTGAATCTAAAGGCTTTCTAAACACAACACTAAAATATAAGCAACAGGGAAAATCATTGTTGTAGTTAGGGTCTCCATTGCTCTGAAGAGACACCATGACCAAGGCAACACTTACAAAGGCAAATATTTAATTGGGGCTGGCTTGCAGTTTCAGAGGTTCAGTCCATTATCATCATGGCGGGAAGCATGGCAGTGTGCAGACAGGCATGATACTAGAGAAGGAGCTGAAAGTTTTACATCTTTATTGAAGGGCTGCAGAAGGAGCCTGTCTTCCAGGCAACTAGGAGGAAGGTCTCAAAGTCCACCACCACGGGACCACCGTGACACACTTCCTCCAACAAGGCTGCACCTACTCCAAAAGGCCGCACCTCCTAATAGTGACACACCCTGGGCCAAGCATATTCAAACTACCACAACCATAGATTGACTGGTTGTCATTAATAAATCTTTAGTGCCATTTAAAACTAAGCAAAGGATTAAACAGACATTTTTCTAAAGGTTGACCTCTAATTCACTTCATACTCAGTAGGATGGCATGGTGATGCCCGCTTTTAATACCAGATGGTAAACACAACAGCATTTATTTTAGCTTTTACATGTTAATTATATTAATATATAATATTAACATGCACCCAAATAACTCAATTTCTAGAGAACTGGGTTGACTTACCACTCTGCTGAAGTATTCATCTAAAACTTCCACAAAATTGTGTATGAATTCATAGATAGCCATCTCATTCTGAAATAAAAGAAAAGTGTAATTAATGTTATCATGCCCTCAGGTTAAAAAAATGCCCAAATTTAATAGTATGATTGACAGGCTCCTGTGCTTGTGTGACCTGTCCCATTGTGTAACAGGACAGGAGGAGGGCATCAGTACTGCTCACGATAAAGAGGCACTTCTTGTCAGACATGGCGGCCCATATGTAGTCCCAGCCACTCTGGAGGCTGAACTGGGGAGACTGAGCCTCCAGGTATGACACCAGCCTGGGGGGCATAGCAAGAGGTTGCCACGACAAAACAGAACAGAGCAAAACAACATCGAAAACCCACACACAAAAAGGGCAAGCAAGATGGCTCAGAGGGTAAAGGCACTTGTCACCAAGCCCGATGACCTGACTTTGCTCCCCAGGACACACGTGGTGAAGAGAGAGAATCAATTCCTGCAAGTTAACTCCACATGTATTCTGTGGCACAAATAGATAAAATGTAATAAAACAGTTGAGTGCGGTGGTATAGGACTTTAATCCCACCGCTCAGGCGGCAGAGACTAGATCTCTATGAGTTTGAGGTAGCCTGGTCTTTGTAAAATTCCAGGTCATCCAAGGCTATACAGTGAGAATGACTCTAAATAAATAAACAAATAAATAAAAACTCAAATAAATGAGAGAAAGCAAAAGAGAGAGACAGAAGAGAGAGAGAGAGAGAGAGAGAGAGAGAGAGAGAGAGAGAGAGACAGAGAGAGAGAGAGAGAGAGAGAACCAAAACCAACAACAAACCCATACACATAAAAAGGAAAGCATTTTGTAATTTCTGGCCTCTTTAACTGTAACCTGTCCATCTAGAGCAATAAGCATCTCGAGTCTCTTGGGGAGGAAGTAGGGAAGAACCTTTGTGTTAACGAGAATAGACGTCTTGCATCTTCCAAGGCCTTTCTAGCATCTTACCTCAGTGTCATTAACTCCAACCACAACAAAGAGAGCTGCGTATTGCCGATAGATCAGTTTAAAATCCTTGTATTCAATGAACGAGCACTAGACGAAAGACAATTAGGTGTTAATGTCTGGTTGAACAGCATGCATAATTCCTAGGTTACATTTTGAGTACCTAGAAATTTAAATTGTTAAACATTAAAATGTTAAACAGCGAAGTAAATTGAAAAATGTCTTGGAGAAAGAGTGATGCACAGGTTCCCCCTCTGCCTCTTGTTCATTCCTTCTCCCGGCTCCCTGTGGAGCTCAGCAAGCAAAGCTGATGCGGATAAAGCAAAGATTATCCGTCGAAGGCACTCGAATGTGAAGATGCACAGACATGCTGACCGGCTTCTTTCTAGCTTTCCGTGAACTCTTGGGAAGTGATTAGATCTGCTCAGTTCTGTACTATCCAATAGTCATGGAGGAACCAACACGAGGAATCTTACCATCCCTCCATCCATCATCTACCAGGGTGTGCGAAAAGAACCAATGTGGATTATTTTATAAATTATGTAATAGGAGCCTTTGTACAGCAGACGCTAGACAAGATTTTCCATTGTGAATATTGCTTCTTATGAATTAATAACTAGCTTACTACTACTGGCCTGAAGATAAAACAACTTTCTCATTTAACTATTTCCTTCAGCGTCTGTACATAGGGATATGAGCAGGAGACAGAAGGCTGAAGGCACAGTGTAAATCTTCAGTGTCAAGGTGTGCTTGGCCAATGTGACATGGACTTAGTGGCTTTGCTCTTGGACATCCAATGTACCTGGGAATGAAGCTACATGTTTTGACTATGGAAATTCCTCCATGGGGAGGGTTCTTGGCAGCTTATATACCACGGAGGAATTTCAGGATTTAATGGAGAATTAGGCTAGAGCCAATCGGTGGCTCAGGCCTTTAATCCAAGGCTGAGACAAGGGCATCTCAAATGTATGGACAGCCCAGGATTCAGAATGTGGACCTGTCTTAAATTTAAAAAGCAAATATGTTGCGCGCTGCCTTGATGCTGTTTGCATTTTGATGTTAATTCTGCTTCCTCAGTAGGGGCTGTCCCGGATGAGGAGTAGATCTCTTACTCAGGAGGTCTCACTGAAACTTCTCCTGTTCTAACTGGTCAAATAAAGGCTAGAGCCTATGGTTGGGCAGTGGAAGGGAAAGGTGGGACTGGAAGTCTGGGGTGTAGGGAAGGGCAGAAGGAGAGAGGACAGAGGAGGAAGAGGTAGAAGCCAATATGGAGCAGAACCACTGGCCAGGAAAAACTGCAAGTAGCAAAGAGTCTCACAGCTGAGGAGTGAGAGAGGGTAGTGATAGTGCCGCCCATCTAGGCAGACAGCTTATAACTATAATAACAGGGTTGTGTGGTTTTCATACGGGCTTATTGGGGCTGGAAAGTACCATGAGTGGCTTGAGTAACAGTTTTCAGTCTCACAAGAGGTTCTGACATAACAAAACAAAACCAAGCACATCTTTGGACAGAATTAAACTAAGCTGATAGAATACTCTGGTGCCTGAGGCCAAAAGTTCAGCGGTTTCTTTTTAAAATAAAAATAATTTTAGAGTACTCCAAAAATCCACCAGTATCTTTACACCCAAGGGCAAACATCAGGTGGAAATGCTGTTTAAATTATAGCAGGCTTGTGGACAGTGGGAAGGTGCCAACAGGAATGTCTCTCAGTGTGTTTCCCACATGTAGTGACAAACACAGTTCTTTAATAGTTCCTGTTTCCATCTGATGGCATGGTAGCAGCGTTGTGCCCACAGCAGGCCACAGTAGTAATCAAAGAGGAACCAGGAGAGATTGCAATTGGGAAACTGATTTTGAAGCCAAGGGAAACACACTTGGGACATGCAACTTCTGAGTGTTGACGTAACTTGGTATTGTATGACAGCTGATGCTGCCACAAGCACCCTCTCCAGGGTGATGAGAGGGAGAACTGAGAAAAAAATGAGTTATTCTGACTTTGTAACAGCTGTCCAACACTCTCTAATGGAGGACTCTGATTAAATAATTCTCTAAATTCTTTGAAAAAATGGACTCAGCTCTTAAGGTGGGCTACAGTTAGCAGAGTGGTAGAGCGTGTGCCTACTAAGCACACAGATGGCCTCGGGCTCCAGTACCACAAAGCCATTTTTTATTATGTAGTGAGCCTCTGGGTTCTGGCAAGAGGAATAGATTTGTTATTTTATATGATCTGTTGACTTCCTTTTCCCTTATTTTACATAATAAAAAAGCAAGTTCAAACTAAGTTTGTTTTAAAATGACTAGTCCTGGTTTTATATTGATTGTACATTGTAGGATATTTAATCATACTGTGAACCCTGATATTGTATTATTTACTGAAAAAAAATCTGTTTCCAGTTGTGGTGTGGCTCAGCCCTTAAGCACACACCTTTAACCCCTCTGGCTGGAATACAGACATGCCTTTAATCCCAAACAATAAAGGCAAAATTAGTTTGTAGAAGGAAGCACCCATGTTTCAAAGTGACGTCTAATGGAGTGGCAGACGAAGTGATGAATCAGAGAAAGATTCTGATAGGACATCCCCACAGTGCAGAGGAGAAAGGAGGCAGTTTTATCGGGACAGTTGTACAGAGACAGATTGTAGAGAAAGAACAAACTAGACACAGGTGAAGACAGAATGAGTCAGAGAATGAGAAGGAGCCATAGGATTAGAACAGATTGCCGGAGTTAGTTAGAAAGAAGTCAGAGGCCAGAGAGAAGCCAGATTAAATCAGTCATCTTGGAGAGGATTTGAGTCAGAAGAGCTGAGTTGAACCAGCCAGCCAGAGTTCATAGAGAACAAGAAAGGGTGAGCTTATTCAGCAGCTTATTCAGAGGCTGAAAACATTCTAGGACTAGATAAGATTGTACAGAGGCCAGAAGCTTCCAGGACTAGACTTAGATTAGCAGAGAGAGGCAGTAAATAAAGCTTTTGAGATGACAATTGATTCAGGAAAATAAAAGTTACTTTTACAGCTGTATATTTACAAGAGATGGTAAGCAGAAAAGAATTATTATGTACATGGAAATCGTATTATTATCCTCTGGCACCACATGGGCCTTGAATTCCGTGGCCACGCCAGTCATCTGACCTTCATGTTTTGGCTTACAGAAAGCCACCAGCTGCAGACACTGCTGAGAGTTCCAAGGGCTGAATTTATATGAGCAAAAAAAGATTATGTCTTCAAGCAAGAGTAAATTTAGCAGCTATTTCTATGATACACTAAGACAACTGTCCTAAATAAAAACCCAAGGCTTGCCTGGCCTGCCTCTTGTTCTCTTACAGGGATGGTAAGAGCCACACTTCTTCTCATCTGCCTTTCCTTAGTCTTTATTTCCCTACCAGCCCTTGAAGGAATATAGTTCAGAGAAAATAATGGCTCTTGAGATAGCAACAACAAACCAGTGAAGACAGTTGTCTACACAGGGAGTAAAGAACAACAGGCACTTACTTGTTCACTGGATCGAGACAGACAGCTCTTGCTGACCTCGGTTTCCAGAAGCGCACGTTTATTAATGTCTACATGCTCATAGTACTTAGACAGTCGGGTCTGCCCTTGCTTGTTCACCATAAGGAAAAACTTTATCATTTTTTCGCCTTTGGCCAGTTCCTTTCCAAATATCATCTAAAAGTTATGGCAAGGGATGTCAGTAGCTAGAACCTGGGGAATAAATGAACAACAGAAAGGCAAGATTACATTTCTCATAGACTCACACCACGTCTGTCTTATAGAGCAAGCCAGAAGTAAATAAAATATTGGACACACACAGTACTCATTCCTATGAATGAAATGAGGTTTAAAGAAGTAAGAGCCAAACACAATTTTCATCAGTTACCACAAAACATACACAGTTCTACTCCTGCCCAGCCAATTTGTTCACTACGTTTGATGAGTTCCAAGTATGCCAAGCACCAGAACAATAAGGAAATGAAGGTGTGATCATTTGCTGTTTTTCTGATTATACATATATACATATATATATCTCACAAAGATGCTAGACTAAGAAGTAACAGCAGTACAAAACTGACAAACTGTAACTGTGACAGGCGCACTTCCAAGGGCCCACAGAGGGACCATCACAGACTGATTAGGAAGGACATCCCAGGGAAGGGCACAGTAGTAGTATCTTGACAGATGACCTAGGAAAGAGTCTGTGGCTGGGAAAACAGGGTGATGAGGGCTCTGGAAATTCCCTTTGGTTAAAGGTTAGGGCACAGCAAGAATAGCTGGGCGGGGGGGCTGGAGAAATGGCTCAGCAGTTAAGGACACTTGCTGCTCTTCAAAGGATCAGCGCTCAGTTCTCCTCATCCACATGGGCAGTTTACAACCATCTCTAACTCCAGCTCCAGAGGATCTGACACTCTCTTTTGGTCTCTATAGGCATCTGTACTCATGTGCACACAACCCACACAGATACATGCAGACACCCAGTAAAGAATAATAATAATAATAGTTTAAAGAAGATTGGCTGTCGGGAATCCCGCTGCTCTCAGAGAACATAAAGAGCTTCAGTAGTTCCGTTATGGAGCTGGATGCCATGTGCAGGAGGCCATGGAAGGAAAACTGACACGTGTCTAAGGCCAGTCTGGGCTAACAGTGAGAAACTGTCTCAAAAAACTAAACCGAGGCCATGCCAAGGAACCTGAGCTTTATTAGCAGCAGTGAGGGAAGAGCTGAGGTATTTCTACATTAGTAGGAGAATAAGTAGTATTCACTATTGCCAGACTCCTTTAATAGGCCATTAACAGCTCTGTGCTCTGAAGCCCGGAAGTCATCGCCTCATCCCCTCACCCAAGAGAGGGGGCAGGCGCTTCTGCCACCCTTACTATAGAGCACAGGAGAGTGAACACTACAGAAGTCTGCAGTACACTGGGTCAGAGGCAGCATCCCTGGACAGGATCTGCAGCATCCTAACTCAGTCAGGGGCTCGTGCTTGAGGTTCTATTTCTATACAGTTGTGTTGAGTTTCACATTTGTTCCCTTTACGTTCAGTATAAAGTCTGAAATAATGAATACAAAAGACCACAATAATTGACCAAAGCTGATCTTTCTTTTATGAAGAGAATATCTTGTGTATAGGGTCTCTGGATAATACCACATCCATTCACATTTTGTAATAACTGAAAAATCAAGAAAAATACTAAGCTGAACAATTCTTTAATTACCTTTTAAAATTTGGATATTTTAGAGCTGTAGAAAGCTACACAGGTGAAATGCTTTTTTTTTTTTTTTTTTTTTTTTTTTAGTTTTTCGAGATAGGGTTTCTCTGTATGCCCTGGCTGTCCTGGAACTCACTCTGTAGACCAGGCTGGCCTCGAACTCAGAAATCCACCTGCCTCTGCCTCCCAACTGTTAGGATTAAAGGCGTGGGCCACCACTGCCCGGTGAAATGCTTTTTTTATTGTTAAAAATCTAAGGTAGTTAGCCCACAAGGGCTCATAGTTCCTGAATCCATGGGTTCATATTTCCTGAATCCTCCTCAATCTCTGCACCCATTACCCAAGCACTTCAGACTGTGAGTCTGATGTCCTGCCAGTGGGATGAGACCCAGTCACCACCTATGTCAGGGACAAAAGACAGAAGCCATGCTGGCCTTGATGTGTTAACCTGATTTGTGTGTGGTACAACCTTCTTCTGTACGAAGAACTTGCCTTGCTGGGCTGCTTTCACTTTGTTTTTGTATTCTCTCGTGTAACACTTGAGATTATTCTTTGTTTCTTATATAAAGTCATTGTTAGACTCTGACATGATCAAGGCACGTTAGTTAAAACTAAGAAACTAATACTAGGCAGCTAGAGGGATGGCTCAGCAGTTACGATGCACACTACTCTTGGAGGACCCACACCAGAGAGCTTACAATCACCACATATAAGTGCTCCAACACACAAAGATACATATGTATCCATAAACAAAAATATCCAATAAAGGTTTTTTTGTTTGTTTGTTTTTTTGAGGAAGGGCTTCTCTGTGTAGCCCTGGCTGTCCTGGAACTTACTCTGTAGACAACGCTGTCCCTGAACTCAGAGATCCACTTGCCTCTGCCTCCCAACCCAAGTGCTGGGATTAAAGGCGTAACATAAAATCCCCTCCCCAACATCAAATCCAATAAAAATAAAAAAAAAAGCAGTACTGACTGACACATGGTGTACCCAACTACAGGCTCAATTTGGAGTTCAGCCATTTTCCTTTACACTTCCCTTTGTTCTTGTGTTCCACCTGGAACGCCTATTACAGTGCCCAGTCACTGTTACTCATGGCTGACAGTTTTGATGATACTGCCAACTGCCTAATACAAAGTCCTTGTGGTAGTTAATTTTGATGGTCAACTTGATGAGATTTAGAATTACCATGGAAACAAACCTGACTACATCCACAGGGAGTTCTAGCTAAGGTTAGTTGTTAGGAGAGCCCGGCCTATATGTGGGTGGCAGCATTTCATGAACCTAAGTTCACCAAGTAGAAAGGAGATGTGACCTCAGCGATCACTGCTTTCTACTTCTTGATTGCAGCTTCCATGTGACCAGAACCACAAGCCACCACCACATCTTCCCTACCGTGATGGGCTGTGCCCGTAAACTGTGAGCCAAAGTAAGTCTTCCATTCTTAAATTCCCTTTGTTGGCTATTTCATCATGGCATCGAGAAAAGTAATGAATCCAGGCCCCTCATTTAGATTCGCCTGATGCTTTCCTTTGGAAAAAACAAAACTACAGAAGCATGAAGCCTGGTGGCGTAGTCCTAGAGTCCCTGTCCTAGCACTAGGGAGGCAGAGACGGGGAACCAAAGCAAGTTTACAGTCAGACTGTCTCAAGACACCAAAATGACTAAATGACAGGCTGGAGAGATGGCTCAGCAGTTAAGAACACTGGCTGTATTTCCAGAACACCCACGCTGGATCGGCAGCACCCACATGACATCTTACAGCCATGTTCCCAGGGATGACACCCACTTCTGTCCTCTCAGAGCACCAGACAAGCAAGTGTTGTGCGCGCGTGTGCACAAACACACACACACACACACACACACACACACACGTATATGTGTGTGTATGTATATATTCATATATACACATATATTTGATGGAAAACATACACAAAATAAAATATATGAAAATAAATTCATACATGAATAAAACCAACAACAAAGTAGGTGAAGTGTCCTTGTCATCACATTGTATCCGAGGTATATGACATCTAACTGACGTATGTTAAAGGTAAATAACATTTGAATTCACTTCCTAAAGTATATTAAAGGACCTAATTGCTTACATAAAGACTCTCTTACTAACATGAGATAGGTGTAGCTTTGTTTTTCTTTTTTATGTCAGGATATTCTAAGCATTAATATTCATTTATCCTGTGGATGGATGGAAATATCCATATACAGAGTTTCTCTGTGTAGCCCTGGATGTCCTAGAACTCATTCTGTAGACCAGGCTAAGCTCAAGTGCTGGGATCAAAGGCGTACACCACCAAGCCCAGCAACTTCCTGGGGAGTTTATACTGTGTGCTAGCAGATAACTATGAAGTATGTTGTCTTCTAATGTTATCTTAAATGCATTAAGCCAGACTATAGATCCTGAGAAGAACACAAACACAGTGAATCTTTTCCAGAAAACTGTACATATTGGTACATATGACTAATACTGCACCACGGCTTCAGTGTAGACTTCCCTGACACCTGCCCAGTGGTCCAGGCTGGAAACCCCCAGTAGGATAGGGCCATTTGTAAGATCTCTTAAAAATAAGCCAACTTGACAGGCATTGTGGCTTATGATGTAATCCTAGCACATGGAAGGCTGGGCAGGATGGTTTGAATTGGAGGCCAGCCTGGGCTGCAGTTATGAGACCTTGTTTCAACCTCACCTTGGGTAAAACCAAACAAAACAAACCAACCTAAACCAAAACAAACAAAGAGCGAGCCGAACCTGAGTCAGGAATACTCATGTGTCCCTGAGCTTGGAATCAGGGAGGTCAAAGCAAGAAGGGGCCAGCTTGCACCACAGAGCAGACACTCGTCACGTCTACAAACAGATTTCCAGTTTTCCTGGGATAGGCTCTCACCATGTGGCTCCAGCCAGTCTTGAATTTACATCCTCCTGCCTCAGCTTCTTCTTTTTCTAAGGATAATGTATTTATTTTTATTCATACGCATTGGTGTTCTGCGTATGAATATTGGTGTTCAATGTATGTCATGCGTGCGAGGGTGTCAGATCCCACTGGAACTGGAGTTAAGACAACTTTGAGGTGCCATGTGGGTGCTGGGAATTGAACCCAGGTCCTCTTGACCTGGGCAGCAAGCGTTCTTAACCACTGAGGCATCTTTCCAGGTCCCCTGCCTCAGCTTCTTGAGTGTTAAGATTACAAGTGTGTACCACATCACCTTTTCCTAAAGACTTTTATCTTCCCAGGCATTTTATTACTACTTGGTACCTACAAATCACACTATAGTCTAGCCAGGCATGTACCTGATGCAGGAGGATGGTGAGATGGGGCCCACCTGGCTACATAGTGAAACCCTATCTCAAAATGCAAAAACACACCCAAGAAAATCCATTGTATTCGTATCTGCCATACATGAATGAAATGGTGTAGGCTTAAGTTTCTCAAATCCTACTTCTAATATGAGTTGGTTTTTTGTTTTTGTTTTTTTTCAAGACAG